GGAGGCAAAGCTTTATGGATCTCTCTGAGTCCAAAACCAGTATAGTATCATCTACATATTAAATTCAGGCCAGCTAGGGCTTCATAGCAAAAGCCTGTCTTAAAAACAGCAAAAAAAGATACTTTCTTCCCAGATATGCCTAGGTGTGTGTCAAGCTGACAGAAACAATCAGCACAAATGACCCCTTGTCAACTTGACACACAAAAACATCACTTATTAATTCATATTCCTTTCTTGTTCATCCCCTCAAGTGTTCATATTAATATAACAGTGCAAAACATCCAACATTTAAAAGTCGCAGTCTTTTAAAAATCCAAATACTTTTAAAAGTTCACAGTCTCTCTAAACTCCAGTCTCTTTTAAAGGGCTCAGACAGCCCCTCTTCTCTGGCTCTGCCATTCACAGCACACACACATCTTGTCTCCTAGGCATAGGCCAGCTCCACTCCACAGCTGCTGCTGTCCTTGGTCATTCTATGGTACTGACATCTCCAAAATGTTGGGGTCTCCACTGCAACTGGGCTGCACCTTCACCTAGCCTCTCCTGACCTCTCTTCGGGGACTCTGACCCTGCCATGTGTCAAGCCTCACCTTCTCTCCATGACCCCTTCAATCCTTTGGTTTCTTCTTCAGCTGAGGCAGCACATTACCAATGGCCTCTCCTCTCATGATGCCACACCTCAGCTCTCCATGCCTTCAAAAGCAGCACCACCTGGGACACTCTTACCCACTACCAAGTTCGGCTGCCAGCACAAGGTAAAGCCTTGTCCCCCTCTGGATCATAGCCTCTGTGAAACCCGAGTTAGATCCCTAGGAGCTGGGCTCAGGTCAGCAAGTGAGTATTTGCTGCTAAGCATTATTTTAGTGCCTCTTGACATAAAGTCATCTAGTGTTACAGAAGCCTGGGCCCTGCCCGCAGAACCCCAAACACATTTAACCCACGTTGACCTTGGACATGGGCAGAACAATTCCTCAGTTTTGGGGCAGAGATAAGTATAACCATCAAATTTGGAAACAGCTTGAGATGAAGCATTTATAAAATCTCCCTACACATAGGAACAGTGCTCTGAAACAAGTGAATCTTACAATGACTTCTTTATGATTTGGGTTTTATCTTGTTCTTTTTCCATATGCACACACACACGTTTGAGTTACTGTTCTATGGCTGTGAAGAGACATCATGACCATGGCAACTCTTATGCATTTAAATGGGGACTTGCTCATAGTTTTAGAGGCTTAGTCCACCATGGTGGGAAGCAGACAGGTGTGGCACTCTAGCAGTAGCTGACAGCATCACATCCTGATCCATAGGCAGAAGGCAGAGACAGACACTGGGCCTGGCATGGGCTTTTTCTTCTTAAATTTATTTACCTTTATTTTATCTTTTGCCTACATGTATGTATGTGAGAGTGTCAGATCTTGGACTTAACAACAGTTGTGAGCTGCCAAGTGGGTGCTGGGATTTGAACCTCAGTGCTCTTAACCTCTGAGCCATCTCTCCAGCCCCTGGCATGGGCTTTTGAAACCTCAAATTTCATTTCCAGCGGTAACACTTCCAAGGAAGGACACACCTCTTCCATCTAGGCTGCACTTCCTAATCCTTCCTGAACAGTTCATCAGCTGGGGACTAAGCATTCAAATATATGCAGTTATAGGGCCACTCTCATCCAAACCACCAGTTATTTAGTCTTTTTTTTTTTTTTTTTTTTTTTTTTTAAGTAGTATGAAGTGGGTTTTCTGGATACTCCTGTAATTCCTAGTTCTCAGATGATGGAGAAAGTGGATTCAAGGCCAGCCTGGATGCAGTGACATACACCTCTAATCCCAGTACTCTGGAGGCAGACAGGAAGTTCCAGGCAAGGCTACACTGAGAGACTCTTTCAAAAGTAAATGAGAATAATCAGGAACAAGTATTTAGAAGAAAAATTTTCTTTGTCAGCTCTATTTTAACTCCTTTGGTTTCTGTTACTCCTTACATCAGCATTCATGCACACTCGCTAAGGTCATGGCACGGTTTTAGTGATTAGGGGAGGGGAAAACATACATGCATGTACTACGTGTATGTGGAGGTTGGATGACAGTTTTGAGGCGTTCTCTGCTCCCACCATGTGTATCTCAGGGATTGAACTTGGCTCATCAAGTTTGACAGCAAGCCCTTTTACCCACTGAGCCATCTCCGAGTCACATTCTGGCTTTCACACTACGAAACCAATGCAGGATAATCTTGCTCCTGTAGGGGACTGCCCCATGCCTCCCCCACAGCTTAATCAATCTCTGGCCCCATGTACCAGCATGCTTGGGAGCCTAACTTGGCCCAGGCCTCTTCCTCGCCTCTGAGCTTCTGTAGTCTCTCGTTGAGTGGTTACTGCCACATTCTCTTGAGGGTTGAGATGGGATCACTTTTGTTTTTGGTCCCCAAGACTAAGCACAGTGACAGGGTGTTGTGCAGTATCTTTGAGCTGATTCCTTCCTGGAGGAGTATGCTGGAATCCCACAGAAGCCTCAGGGGAAATGGATGCCCTAGAGAGCCAGGATGTGCAGAGTTAACTGCCTGCTTTTTTCCCTCAGGACTTCCTAAGAAAATACCAGGTCACCAAGGGCTTCTGGGTGGGGGCCCTACGAGGCCCCGAAGGCTGGCACTGGACCAATGGGGTCCCCTTGCCATCCCAAATGTGAGTAACTGGGTTCCCTCCCCCTCTGTTGGGCTACAGCCTCCTTTTGTCCCACCCAACTGTCAGTACCAATAAAGACCCATTCCACAGGAAGCCAAGGGGAACTAGCACTGGCTTACCTTTCACTGCAACCTTGTTGTGTGTCCCCAATACATTCACCCAGGCAGAACTGCCATGGCTGCTCTTCAGAAACAAGGTCTGTGGCTTAGGAATTCGGTGGTTCCGCCATGTAGCTGACAAGTGGAAGACATTGGCAGGGCTCTCTCCGGATATTCCTTCCCTGCATGGAGTGACGGGCGCAGTCCTGGGCCTCAAAGGAGGCCCAGTAACCTGATTATCTTCTCTCTCTCCTCCCTCACCTACTGCCACTTCAGGTTCCCGGAGGACAGTGAAGACCACCCAGACTTCAGCTGTGGGGGTTTGGAAGAAGGCAGGCTCGTAGCTCTGAACTGCAGCTCTCCCAGACCCTGGGTCTGTGCCAGGGGAACCAAGTGACTTAGTCTGTCTGGAGCTGTATTCATTACCTTTGCTTTGGTGTGACCAAAATAGCTGACAGAAACAACTTCAACGAGGCAAGAGGAAGCAGGCTCATGGTTTCAGAGGGTCACACCTGGCAGAGTTACCCAGTCCACAGCAGCGCAGGGAGCTCTGGAGCCAGGGGTGGGAGCAACCTGCAAATGCCTGCCACCATTGACATAACTCCACAAACTAGGATCTTTGAAAAACTCCAAAAACTCTTCTGAGATCCCAAGCAAACTTTTTAGCTGTGAGCCTCAAGTGACATACTTCTAATATGCCAAGACACAGAGTAAAATTACCATTCCAAGGAAGTAGAATGGGAAACTACGCAGGAAAGATTATAGACTAATGCAAGACTGAAATCCATCAGAACAGGTTACTAGATAGAACAGAAGAAGGGGACAAACTATTCCGAGTTGTGATCATCTGCAGCTTTTGATCTATTGATCTGCAATAAAATGCTGCCAGTATTGCCTAAAGCCTATGTTCCTTATACTCCTGGATGGATCAAGCAATCCTGTGAGACTGGCTGCATCCCTGGGGTGACCCACAAGCCCAAAGTGGCCTTGCTCCACTAACCATTCAGTGCTGCCTCCTGGCTGGAGGTAGAGGATTGTGTCTTAGTGCTCTCAGTCACGCCCCTCTTCAGGGAATGTTACTTCCAAGAATCACCCCCAAAGTCGTCTCCAGGTCTTACCTCAGAAGTTACCCAGCGTATCATATGCCACATTACATTGACAAACACATTAGGGCCATGGAGAAGTTAAGAATTGTCGGCCATGTACACTACCCAAGTAGCTTTTTATTTTTTTTTTTTAAAGGAATCCAGTATGCCTGGATCCCATTCTTAATTTTTTTTTTAAGGTTTATTTATTTTACGTATATGAGTCTTCTATCTGCATTTACATCTGCCAGCAGAGGGAATCAGTTCACATTATAGATGATTGTAAGCCACCATGTGGTTGCTGGGAATTGAACTCATGACCTTTGGAAGAGCAGGCAGGGCTCTTAACCACTGAGCCATCTCTCCAGCCCCCACCCCCAAGTAGCTTTTATTTACTAGATTTGTCATCTCAGAGACTTACTGCCTCCCTCTGCTAACCTAGGCCTAGTACTAAAAGCTTTAGCCTCTGTACAACCTAATCTAGGCCAAGAATATTCATAGCCTCTAAGACTTAATGCTGAATAAACTCACCTTTTTTAGCTCTTTCTAAACTCTGTCTTGCTGGGTCAACTCAGTTGTTTGGCTTAAAACTCCTCTCCAGGATGACTGATTCAATCTGGCTTCTCTCAGCCTCTGACTGAATTGCTCTGCTTGGCCACATACTAACTTTGGCAGTATGTTCTAATCTTCTGGCTCCTATTCATTCTCTGGCTTCTTGTGTCTAGCTTGTTCTTTCTTCAACCTCTCTGTAAAATTCTGCTAAAAACTGCCTCTCAACTTCCTGACTCAAACTGCCTGAATAGAACTAAAATTCAGAGATCTGCTTGACTGTCTCCTGGGATTAGGGGTGTGTCTGTATTCCAGCCAGATCACACAGACCTAGGTCTTTGGAAGTGACCTCTTGCCAGAGCAGCTGTGTTCTGAGTTAAGATTCCTCTACAGGGGATGGCCTTTTACTTGATGGCCTTGCTTTTGTTGGGTCAGGCTGGGACCCAGGGCTTCATGCATTCTAGACAACAGACATGGCTTTATTTTTTGAGTGGGTTTGGTTTTGAGGGACTTTTTTTTTTTTTAAAGACAAGGTTTCTCTATGTAGCCCTGCTGTCCTGGAGCTCACAAGAGATCTGTCTGCCTCTGCCTCCTGAGTGGTAGGATTAAAGGCGTGCATCACTATCACCTGCTCTGGCTTGGTTTTTTCAGACAGGGTTTCTCTGTGTAGCCATGGGTTCTCCTGGACTTGATCTGTAGACCAGGCTGGCCTCAAACTCACAGAGATTTGGCTGCTTCTGCCTCCCTAGTGCTTGCTGATGTGTTGTTTTTTTAAATCAGAATTCCTCAAAGTGTGTAGTATTCTCCTAGTCTTGTGTCACGGTTTTCCCACAGTTGTTGCATTTTAAAATTGATTAGTTTACAATAACAACAACAAAAATCTATGGGACTTCTGAATCCAGCAAGTTAATTATTGTATAGTTCTGCTCACAGGAAGGGAGGCCTCTAAAATAGAAATCTCTTTGTAGGCACCTCAGCCCAAAGATAAGCTTCATACTCTATTAGGAGACAGACTTATCTCCATTAGTTAGGGGGAGGAATATACTTGGAGTAAGACATGGGGAAATGGCACAGTAGTGCGTGCTTGCTGCAAAGTGTGAGGGCTGTGCCCCCCCCCAAGGCATTTTATTTATATATATGATTTACTTTCCTAGAAAAAGCCTAGGATGTTCTCCTATGTGTTTTGTCTTGTTTAAATGGTCCATGATGGCATCATAGGACAGAGCAATGAAAACAAATCGACACCATGGGAGATTAGTCTGTTATCTATCTATCTATCTATCTATCTATCTATCTATCTATCCATCCATGTATCAAATCTGTGGCTAGCTGGTCACCACACACCTGTTCAACCTACCAGTGAGATTAAAAATGATTTCCCCAGCTCTGTAATCATGAGTAATTTCAGATTTGCTAATGTAACCATGTTCCACAATCACAGCCAGCAACCTGGCAGTAACTCTAGAGCAGCCTGATAACACATTTGCCTTAGTATCACTGAAGCTCTTGAGAGCAACAGCCAGGACATTCATGGTACCATGATGACATTGTGGAATGGTGCACAGCTTAGGTCAGTACAATGAAACCAAATTGACAGGATGGGAGCAGATTTCTAGCTCTTTGAGCTGCACATCAATCTGAGCCTGGCTGGCAACTCCACACCTGTTCAACCTACCAGTGCAGAAAAAGGGAAGGTAATATGTTTTGTTCCAGAGTCATCTCAAAATGATGGCAGTAGAGTTCGCAAAGGGAGGCAACAAATCTATTCTGAGATGAGTTGGCTGGGATCCCATGCACTGCACCCAGGGGAGAAGAATCAAAGCAAGCCTAAAGCAAGAGAAAGGGACGCATTTCTATAAATACGTAGGGAACTGGGCTGAGGGCTGGGAACAGGCCTCTCAATATTTGGGAAATCTCAAGGAACCAGCTTAGGTTCTAAGCTTCAAGAGAAATACAGAAGCTACAATCAAGGCACTCTGAGTTCTGATGTTTGTTCATGTGAGGGGGAGGGGAATAGGAACCTAGGAGATCCACCATTCAGCTCTTCGTGCTCACGGTCTTGCTGCTTCTATAGTGCTTCTCAGGCCCACCAGGAAGATGACTTTTGTGCTAAGACCCCATGCCTCCGCCACCAAATGCACGTGATACTTGCCACCACAATGAATGTAAAATTATTTTTAAAATAAAAAAAACTGAAATAGCTGTAAGTAGTCTGAGAATAAAGGCATCAAGCAATCCAGCTACTCAGAGACGCCAGTCCCCAATATTCAGGACCTTAAAGGTATGCTTTAGTCCCTGTGAAATAAAATTCTGACCAGCAGCAGACCACCTATACTTTGGAGTGAAGTTGGCCTTGAAATGCAAAGGCATTTTCCTACCATACACATGAATCTGTGGGTTAAGGTATGTGTGTGGAAAGCCAAGGACACTCCAGGAACACTGGGGACACCAAACACCAATGCTAGGCAATTCCAGCCAGGAAACTCACCTGTCTTCTTACATTAACAGCTGTTGTATGCTATCTAGTGTACTTACCTGTATTAGCTCATCTAATTCCCACCACGACCTAGTAAAATAGTAGTGAAGTTAGACTCGAGGTCATAAATAACAAACAACTCTAAAAAACCCAAGCAGAAAAGGCTTCTCATCATGTTCGCCTTTCTTCTCTTTTTGGACCACTTCCTCACTAGAGTAATAGTCACCAAAAGTGCTTAACTTACCTGTCCTCAAGTCAAGAGAATCTAAGCTGGAAGCTTCTAGTCACAAGAAAGGACTCTGTGCATCTTAAGTGTCACCTCTGGATTGTTGAACCTTGGCCAGGAATGAAGCCAAACTGCAAACAAAGTGGAAACTTCCACACCACACTGAAACATGACAATGGGAGGAAGGGTGAGTTTCTTGAACAGGACAGCAAGCAAACGGTACAGAGAACAGTGGAAATCTTCCAGGCATCTGTTACTCCATTATTCCAAAGCTCAGGCTTGAAGAGGATAAAGGATTTGCAAGACAGCAGAGTGCCCACTCTGGAGATGTGAATCAACACTTTATCAAAGAAACATACAAAAACCAAATAAACGTACAACAGTTAAAAGATCAAGGGTGGCACAGCCTTACAATGGCTTATACTCAGATAGAAAAACAAATAGTTCTGGAGCTGGCCCAGTGGCTAAGAGCATGTGTTAGTCTTGCAAAGGACTTGGCTTGTTTTCCCAGAACCAGATGGTGTGTCATAACCTGCATGCAGTTCCAGGAGACATGATGACTCTTATGACTACCACAAGCACTCGAAATGCACCTAATGTACATGAAGGCAAGACACTCATACAAATTCATAATTTTTTAAAATTATTTGTTTGTGACAGTCTATATATTCCTGGCTGTCCTGGAATATACTATGTAAACAAGGCTGGCCTCAATCTCATGGAGATCCACCTGCCTCAGCTTCCTGAGTTCCTATGTGCGCCACCATATATGGCCATGTCTTTCTTAAAAAACAAAGCAAAAAACCTTTTTCTTAATATTTATGATTATAATCCTAACCTTTAATGGCTGAACTATCTCTCCAGCTGGGATACAAAGTAAATAAACTGTAATTAATAAAAAATAAAAAACCCAATTTTTTTTTTGTGTGCACATGCCTGTATGATGTGTTTATGCACACACATGAATATAGGTGAGGGTGTTCACATTGCACACATGGAGCTAAAAGGACCGTCTCGGGTTCAGTTCTCACCTTCCACCTTGTTAGACATGGAGTCTTATTATTCACTGCTGCATATGCCAAGTTAGCTGGCTAGTAAACTTTTGGGGTTTCTCCTCTCTGCATCCATCTCATGGCAGTAGCCTCCACACCAGGCTTTATGTAAGTGCTGGCTGTTTAAACTCATGTATTACACTTGTATACCAAGCACTGTGTCATTGAGCTACCTCCATAGCCTGCAAATATCCTCTGAGAGACACACAACACATAAGAATTTCCTAGAAAACAGCCAGACCTGAACATGCCTATTGATAATTCCTGTGATAATCAAAAGGAGACAGAACTAGTTTGAGAATGGAGCTAACTGCCAGAAACCAAAGACAGGCCTTCCAAAATGGGATAAACATGTCAAGTTTACTAAGCATGTAAAATTGCTGAATGTCACTGGGTAGCCTTTTAGGCAGGAAGGGTTTTCTGTGTAGCTTTGGTTGTCCTGGAACTATGTAGACCAGGCTGGCCTCAAACTTAAGAGATTTGACTGCCTCTGCCTCTCAAGTGCTGGGATTAAAGGCCTGTGTCACTATACCAGATTTCTCATGATTTTCTTATTCTTGCCTCTTAGCCCTTTCAGCAAACATCCTATGTGTGTTACTTTCAGCCATCTTTCGTTGGCCAAAAAAATATGTGGTGGAGGATGACCTTGAACCCCTGATACCCCTCCTTCAACCTTCCAAATGCCCCACCATGCTCTCAGCTTTTTTGGTAGTCTTGATTTTAGGAGTGAGTCCCCAGTTGCTGTGTTCATTGTGTGCAGGTGCACTGACGAGGAGCCAGAAGTCACCCTCAGTGGCAGTCCATCTTTCCTTGAGGCAAGGTTAAGGCTGGTGAGTGAGCCCCAGGAGCCCACCTTTGCGCTTCAGAGCCAGGATCACACGTCCATACCACCATGCATTGTATTAGTGATCCAACTTGGCTCCTTAGGCTGACATGTAAGGATGTGCTGAATGAGCCACCTTCCCAGCCCAAGACAGAACATTTTAAAGTGGTAATTTAATTAAAAGATCCAAGAGTTTTCAACTTTAGAAAAATTTTCAAAATGCACAAATTGGAAAAAAAAATGAAAATAAACATACATAAATCTAATACTTAATATTTTACACTTATTTTATGTGTGTGTGCATATACAACTGGATCATTTGACAATAAATATCAGACATCAAGTTTCACATAAATACTAAAACTGTTTTTAAGTAACGCAAATTACACAATTAACAACTTCTTTCCAGTCCATACAACTTCCTACTTTCTCTACTTTCCCCCTTACTTTAGAAGCTGAGATTTTCTATTGTAGCCAATGGCAATTCTCCTGCCTCCCATCTATTTGGATTAAAGGCATGAGCCACCACAACCAGCTAGTCAAAAATCTAGATCTAATTAGACAATAAATATGGCTACTGGCTATTTCTTTAGCCTCCTTTAACCTAAAACTTTCAAGTTGTTTTAAGAAATTGAGCCAGCTGTTTTGCATAATGACATTGTGAATGTAATCTTATTTTTCTATAAATTAGAATTTGGACTTAGATTTGTTACAGGCCTATTTTTAAAATGGGGTCCTTTATGTGATTTCGGTACAGGATGTTCAAAGACCACATTTTTATAAACATTTGCCTAAAATTTAAAAGCTACTACTAGGCTGGTGCTGAACATGAAATCCTCCCAACTCAGCTTCCCAACTAGCTTGGATTATGGGAGTAGAGCACCTGTCATGCCTAGCTCAGTAGACACTTTTGATAGAATACTGTTTGCAATGCTGGGGACTGGGGCATCCTATAGGAGAGGCAAGTGTTTCATTCCAATCTTCAAGTAATTTACATCCTACTTTCTTGGGGGGGGGGGTGAGTCAGGACCTAAGAAATGTTAATCCACACTCCAATTTTGCTATGATTATTTTCATGTTATTTTTCGTTCAAAAGAAAAAAAAATTAAAGTAAACCTAGATGCCAACAAAAGTGTTTTGGAAATAGGGCAGTACCACATACACCTATTCTTTCACTCATTTGGCCTTGACCAGGCATTCCCGATGCTCCCTTCTTGTCACTCTCAGCTTAGAAACACTATACTTACTCATAGTCCCAGCTTTTGGCATCTGCCATTTTGTCCCACATCCTAGATTTTTGCTTAACTGTCCAGCTCTGCCTCAATGTCTGGCTTTCAGGCTTTTTCTATGCTAGCTACTGAACTTAGGCTGATCCTCACACATGGTTGTAGTTGTTGAGCAAGCAGATCGTTGCTCCTATCCCTTGAGAACATGCAGACATTGCAAAGTTCAGAAACATCTTCTGGTCCTGGACCCACAAGGACATGCTCCCCGACAGACCTTTACCACCAACAAAACGCTGTTCTCTAAGTCCGCACCATCTGCTTTAACTTCTAAAGAACTACTGTCTTGAACAACTGGCGAAAGAAGAAAAAATACTGAAAAGTGACTTTATAGATTGCCTTACTGGTACCCTATTACAAATTTTCACCGGGTGTGGTGGTACATGGCTGTAATCCTTAATTTGATAAGGAGTAAAGAAACAGTTGTTCAAGGTCATTTTCAACTGCATGCTGAGTTGGAGGTCAGCCTGGTTCCAAAAGGTGGGGAGAGAACTCTGGATGAGGTTGAGACAGCATGTGCTTTGTAAGCCTGAGAAGTTCAAACCCCAGCACCGATGTAAAAAGTCAGGCATGACAGTTCATGTTTATAAATCCAGTGCTCTGAGATCTCGCTAGGCAGGCAATCTAACCTAACTTGTGAGCTCCAGGTCAATGAGACCCTGTCCTAAAGGAGATGCCAGCATTCCTATAAATAATACTCTAAAATAAACAAAGACCAGGCAGAATCAAATAATGATGACACTTCATTATCTCAAGCTGGACCCAAACCTGTGACAACCCTCCTGCCTCAGCTCACCAGAACTGGGAAATACAAACACGTGACCCTCCCCAGTAAGCTTGTTTTGAAAAAGAAAAAAAAAAAATTAAGGCATTTTAACAGTGTTATAGCAGATAAGACACTGATGTGGAGATGGTATTTAAGAACTCAGAAGAGTAACTGGTTACCAAATGAATGGATGTGGTTTACAAGTTTACCTATAACAGCTCAATGTCTACCTCAGAAAGCTCTATTCCCCCCAGCCCCATCTGTGAAATATTTTCTTCTGTTGTTTTTTGAGACAGGGTTCCTGTGTGGCCCTGGCTGTCCTGGAGCTGGAGCTATAGACCAGCCTGGCCTCAAATTCAAAGATCCACCCGCCTATCTGCCTTCCGAATGCTGGGATTAAAGGCGTGCACCATCATGCCTGCCTTCTTACTTACAATTTAAAAAAGAAAATGTATATATATATAATCATCTACAACTCAGGGCACTAAACCTAAAGTACTTATAAAGATTTATGAAGAACAGTGTAGACCACTAGAATGCAACACAGATACACAAAGCATTCTTTGCGAACAAAAAAAATTGGGCCACAGTGAGGAGAGGTTTCTTAAACTCTATAAATGTATTGAAGGAAATACATATATTAGAGAGAGTTCACTTCATAAACTGGAAACCCGAGTGCCCCTCCCTGACCTTAAACTTGAGCTGCACATGCCTCAGCCCCACAAGGGCTTCAGGAATAGGATAATGGACATATTGCACCATGCTTTTGTTCCTTTGTGCTGTTTAAAAAAAACAAAAAACAAACAAACAAAAAAAAAAAAAAACAGTTTAAACTGCACCTGGTGGTCTGTGACTTTAGTTCCAACACTTAGGATGTTGAGAGGGAAGTTTGCAATTCAAGGCCAGCCAAGGATACATCTCTAAAAGATCTCATCTTTAAAACCAAGAAAATCTAGTATCACATTACTTGTCTACTCTTTGACATATTACTGTCATCAAATTTTGGGAACTCCCCACCTCCACCCCTGAATTTCTTAAAATTATCTAAAAAGGATTCTGTTGTACACATACATAATCTTGGCACTGAGGCAAAGGATTAAGGATCAGGCAGGAGTTGAAGGTCATCCTCAGCTACACAGTGAATTCTTAGTCAGCATAGACTACATGAGACCTTAACCTTACTCCCCAAAAGTGATGTGAGTACTAATTTTACTAGTTAATACATTATTGTTCATTCTATATTCTAGAAGGACAGAGGTATTTGTTAACTACTAGGTAGTTATTAGTAGGTAATTAGCTCTTTAATGCAGAAAACTGTCGGTTTCACTATATTGGTTACATATTGTTTTTATTCAGGCTTGTCAATTAAGAAATACAAACAAGTGACTCTTAGTTGTTTCTACAGGTCCAAACTTTCCTTACAGAGCTGTTAAACACAGCTCTGAAGTAATGGAGTATAGCCAGCAAAAGATTTAAGGGGGACAACAGTTCATCTGGAATCCACAATTATATATTTACTTCCTTTAGTGCCTTGTACAGTAAGGCACTGTTAAGGATGTTACAGAATAGAGGAAAATACCCATAGCAAATAGTTCTAGTGATAACTTACTACACAAGTTACAGTGTAATAATGGTGGTGGTGATTGTTTCATGTTTTTTTTTTACAGTAAGAGTATAGCCTTTCTACTACACACATATACGCACGCACGCGCACACGCGCGCGCGTACACACACACACACACATGTGCTTATTTAACAGTCCCTGCCCCATTCCCCCTCAATACACTGAGCAGTTTAATAGAACAGAAAAATCAAGACAAGTCTGATTTCAAATGTTTCAATAAAAAAGCAAAAGTATGTAATGCAATAGCTGTTCAACTTTCAACCCTAACAGGCCACAAACAACAGCCCCATATTTAAATTTCTTCAGCATGCAATCCAGTAGAAATGCTCAACTGTAATCAACTAGTAATTGACATGAACAGAATCTTAGAACAAAAGTTATATTGCTTCCCTGCCCCCTTTTCTCTTACAGTTGGAGGCACAGGTATTATAAGATAGAAAAGTCAAAGGAAAAGGAATAATAAAGAAAAAAACTCTTAAAGCTGCTGCTATTTGGAATAGAAAGGAAGACAGTATTTCACAAATGCTCAAAGACTTCAAGGTATTAACACAATCCGTTCACTATCACTCCTACTGGAAAGAATAGAGATCAGCGTCTTATTTTATCAAACTGTATGTTCAGTTCACCAGAAACTATGGATGTAGTTTTAGGCTCTATCAAGGAAAACAGGTTCGGTTCAGATCATTAGATACATCTAGCCTGACTGGATTGGTGTCTAGAACTGTTCACTGTCACTCTGACAGCTGTACACTAAACGAAAGCATGTAACTCCATAGGAAGCTTAAAGATCGCAGATATATACACAGCTAGTTAGATCTCCCCTGCTTCACGCTCTTCAGAGCTCCTCCTGTCTTCTGATCTGCCATTAGCACTCTCATAGGACCGCTTCTTATCTTTTCGATCTCGGTCACGAGGTGATCTGTCTCTTGAACTCCTGTCTCTGTCACGTGATGCTAAGTCTTGGTCTCTGAATCTTTCTTTTGAGGATCTGAAAAATATTAATTTGAGGAGCAAAATATGTTGGGACACCCAAAATCCAATGAAAGAATAGGATCAATATTAAGTTTCTGATAGCTGAAGAAACAGATTAGAATACATCTGAGAAGAGTATTTCTGATAGCAGATGGTATTACTATAGCAGAAAGAAGCACCAATTGGTGGCAACAAATAGCTATACCTAAGGATAAAAAAACCTAAACTAAATAATTACTTATAAATATTCTTAGTATTTCAGAGATAACCATGAAGTTTCTCCAGTTAACAAAAAGGTGTTTAATATAAAGTAATATATAGGTAATAGCTGTTAAAAGTAAAAATTGATTACAAATTGGATGAAACCAATGAATTAATACAGAGGTCATCTATTTTGTGCTAAATGGGCTGACACAATAAGAATCTGAGGTGTTATAATTCACACGCAATATCAGGGTGTAGAATAATCTTTCTTTTTTACCAAATTTTTAAATGCAAAAACGCAGAACCACCCATAGCTTGCTGGCTGCACAAAGAGAGGCGCCAGCCACATCTGTCCTACAGGAAACACTTTGCGAACCTAGTAAAAGAACTACTTAATAATACGGCTTTAAATAACCATTTGCTAATTTAAAAATCTGCTTTACTCCATCATGAATTCATTAAAACAAAAACGAAAGATATAAAAAAATGATTTTATAATAAAATCTTAACTGCTTCTAATACTACTATACTATCTCCATTCTCATACCCATCTTCAAAGAAAGGGATATAAACAAAACACCCTCATATCAGATATGCAACCAGAAAAAAAAAAAAAACACAAAGACATTATGTAGACTCTAACTATATTGCTTAGCATAGAATATACTTTTAACACCTAAAATGAATTAACAAATATTACATTTATTTAGTTCTTTACAGATGATACAGAATGTTTATACATAATTTATCTCAACCAGAGGCACTGCCAAGTCCTGCATAATACTTTTTTAAAGAGTTGGGGCTTAAACCTAGGAGGACCTCAATAGGCTATGTTTACATGCTACTAGCCCAGAAAAAGCAATACTTTCAGAAAAACATATGGCAAGATAAAAATACTACTATAACCAGTTTTAAAATATAGATACGGAGAGCATTGTAGTTTAGATATAAAACAGTTGAAAAGGCTGTTGAAGACTTGAAACTGGTGGGTGGTGCTACAGAAAATGTGGCTAAGTCAGTACAATCAATGAATTAATCCACCGCAAGTTCACAGCTAAACAGCCATTAGGAGGTGGACTCTGGCAGAAGGAAACAGGTCAACAGGAGTGTATTTTATTATAATCTTGTTCTCTATTTCCACTGCTATCAGGTGAAACATACGTTACTCCATTATAGGTGCCATACCATGTTCTGGCTCAGTAGGCATGGGCCAAAAACAATTCAAAAGTAGCCATGAACTAAAATCTCAGAAAGTGTGAGCTAAAAAAAAACCCCAAAAAACAAAAACAACCTTCCTCTCATGAATTGTTTTCAAGTACTTTGTCATAATACAAAAATACGGCAACACTGATTAAATTAAAAGCTTGAAAAATTAAAACCAATTTTGAGCATTCTACTTGAGGTTTTCTAAGTTTCTCTCTCTCTTTCATTTGTTTTCTGAGTCAAGGTCTCTCTCTATAGCCCAGGCTGACCTCAAACTGTGGCAAGCCTCCTGTGCCTCAGCCCCTGAGTTTAACATTCCAGGAGCTCCTGCTTAATAAGCATTTAAAAATAATATGCTTAAAAAGACAGAAAGTCACATTCCAAGTCTACACAAGCCATCCCCAAAACCTCTATTAATGATAGAAATGATCACTAAGAACAATGACATTAGATGCTGGCAAGTCCCTGAGGTCAGTGATAACTGAAAAACAACAGAGATTATTACGAAATGTTTGTAAAAGATTACAGACACGCTACACACAGTTTGTTATGTGCTACTACTGAAAGCCTAATAAGCCAAATATTCCTATGACCTCTATTTAATGAAATAGGGAAAAACAAATGGGATGTAATTAAATTATTTGGCAAAGAATTCTGAACCCAAGTAGTCACACTTTGAAGTCTATATTACATGACAGAACACCCACAAAAGCACAAAGTTGCTGAAGGTCCTCACTGACCTATGGGAACTGTTGCCAAGACAAGGTTCATATAGACAACCAACTTGTAGCAGAGACCATTATTTCACAGCAAGAGCAAGAAAACAGCAAAATGTCAAGACTTTTAATGGACTCTTTTACCATCCAAAACTAAACATATATATATATATATATATACCAATAATTTGATGTTATATATAGGAAATAACAAGTAGCAATTATTTGCTTTTTTGTTAAAAACAATGATTTTTAAAATTAATTTGAATTCAAAGATATGAAATACTCTTGAGAAAAGCAAAAAACGTTTAATAGTTTTACAAAAATAATCCTCTTTGAACATGCTGAGTATGGTGGGAAGTGCAGGAAGCATCAGGATGACAGTAATAGGACAGGTCTCCCCACCCACCCCACCCCTCTCCACCACTAGTACAGACATGTAAGATAAACATCAGAGAAATGGCAGCTGGGTAGGTCAGCACAACAATCATCTAGATCCTTTCTCAACTGGCTGGACGATTCTCAGACTTAGTGTGCAGATTTAGAATCATCAATAACATGAAAAATGCTTGTTTCTGAATACTGCACTGAGGACAGCTTCCAAAACCCAGTTTCAAAATGTGAGATAGAGGCCTACAGATAACTTTTCTACTCATTTAATTATAACCATTTATTTAAGCCTGATTCATTATCTGAAACTGTTTTTTAAAAATCATTCTGAAAATTTCATCTAAATGTGTATCATTTGTCCCCTAATACCAGTTTAGCATTTTATCATCTGTGGTGAAGTTATATTCCCACACAGAAAACTCCAGAGCCATATGAATATGGTTGTTTATATACACTATTATTCCTTTGCTATTTTTTCTAACAACCCTAGCACAGAGAAAAGTGTTTAATTCTTAAAGCCAGGCAGTGTGTCTGTCATATGCCTATAATCCCAGCACTCAAGAGGAAGCTGAGGCTAAAGGCTTATAAATCTGAGGCCATTCTGGGCTACAAAAGACCTTGGCCTCCTGACCACCCCCAAACTAACCCCTCCCCTATAACACACACAAATTAGTTAAAATCACTTGAAGGACTACTTAGAACAAAGACAAAAATATAATATAAAATAAAATGCTGATTGAAAGCCTATTAAGAAACACAGCTTGTGATTTCAGGGAATGGGTATAATTCAATCTAAAACAAAGATTTGCCAGCTTTCTGTGGTTTCAACTATGAACTTTATATGGAGAAAGCCACAGAAACTGTAAAAATAGTAACTAGGCACTCCAACTAAATATATCCATATATACCTAAGAATAGCTGTCAAGAGGGAAAAATTAATTTTAAGCATAATTTATGCTCTAGAGGATTATCGTATGACCCGAGTTTTGGGGACATAACAGCTCCACTGCATTCTAACCCTTTGTTCTCACTAGATAATCAGGGCCAGTGTCTGCTCTCATTGCGACTGTACAAGTGTCCTGCGACACTCAGAAGTGTTGTAAGCTTCCTCAAAACTCAGAATCTTCCCATCACACTAAATAACGGTGAACACACAAAAATGTATGATTTATACTGCAGATTAAACAACATAGTAGAATGTGTTTGCTCTTTAGAAGTGCACCAAAGTGTGGAAAACAGGCAAACAAAGCTAAACAAGTCTTTTAATGAAAGGACTTCTCAAAGTCCCTGATTTGTTAACACACAATGGAAAACAAAGAAAACCCCCCACAACCCTCAATAGTATTAGTACCTAAATTATTTGCCTATAAAATAGTTTATGTTTTTACCAGCGTCCCTCCCACCTCCCCAATATCCCAAGCAAAGAAAAGCAATTACCTCTGCACATACTGGCTCCAATTTTTTACTCTGCTCACACATAACTGCACGAACTACCCATACAATCAGAAAAAAAAAAAAAAAAGTATACACCCACAATTGAATACATATCAATATTGGGAGTAAGTTTCAAACCAATAATCTAAGCATGAGTAGTATAAGGAAACAAAAGGCTAAAACATAAAGGTAGCTCCGCATCCTCTCATCGGCACTTCAATACCTCCTCTTGGATCTTTCTCTGCTCCTATCTCTTGAACTGTGCCGACTTCTCTGATGGCTGCGGCTGCGGCTGCGGCTGCTGGACCTGGACCTGTGGCGATGGCGTTTCTCCCGAGACTTGGATCGAGTCCTCCTCTTGCGTTCTCGTGACATAGAGCGAGATCGGTGTCTACGATGCTCTCTGGATCTAGATCTACATGAAAATTATTTCATTGTTAGTACTGTAACTCTCATTTACACTAAAACTCTGTTCTTTAAAAAAAAAAAAGCTAATTTTCACAAAACTTTTAAATAAGTGATGCGTGTGCATGCATGCACATCACAGGATATAAGTGAAGGTCAGAGGACAAATTTTTGGGAGTCTCCTTTTACAACCTGGGTCCTAGAAACTGAACTCAGATTATCAGGCTTGGTACCTTAACCAGCTGAGCCATCTTGTCCATACTGAAAAGTTATTCTTCAGTAATTGTACTTGATGTCAATTCTATTCTACTAAATAAACTATGTGCAATGAAAATAAATTGCTAGTATGTTTATGATGATACTAGGATTTCAAAATAAAAACAAAAATACTAATTGTTTCAGAAGTCAATCTAGGTTATATAAATTTATGTCAGTAAACTAGGGATGTATCTCAGTGGCACAGAACTTAACATCCAAGGGGCTAATAGGATCCACCCCTACTACTAGATGGGGGGGAAAAAAGCTAAGTGAAAAAAGGGCTTGCAGCACAACCATGAGTACTAAGGGTATTACAACACACATCTGTAACCCCAGCTCCAGGGCAGCTGACAGAAACTTGTTAGTTTACAGCCTAGCCAAGAAAACACAAACCCCAGATTCAGACAGGGGACAGTAATAAAGCCTTCTTCTGACCTTTACATCACACATACATACACATATACACTCACATATTCATACAAACACACACAAAATAGTAATAAAAGACTTATTAGGGCAAATTGTGCTGGCACACTGAATTTGAGGCCAGCCAGGAATACACACACACACACACACACACACACACACACACACACACACACACACACACAGTGAAACCCAAAAGTTGTTTCTGGTTTTTTTTTTAGCAGGGGGCTGAGGAGATAGCTCAGCAAGTTTAGAGTGCTTGTTGCTCTTCTACAGCACAGGTTCAGTTGCCAACATACATGTGAGGTAGCATATAATTCCAGTTCCAAGGGCAACCCACCCACCCACATGGCATATATTTACAAATAAAAATAAATCTTAAAAAGAAAAAAAGTGTATCTGACACATATGAAATAAGGAGAAAGCTTAATAAAGAATATTTTAAGGATAAACCAGCCTTTCCCTGAATTATATTTTGACCACTAAAGTCCCAAATGCCCAAGTGAAGCCAAAATTACAATTAATCAAACAAGTATCATTTGGACACTTTATGAAAACTTATGTGTGATGAGGATGGAAACAGCATGGATAGAACAGAAATATGTGAGAGAAAACATGATTAAAAAGTATATTGTTTGGTTTAAAGCCCCTTTAAGAGTGACAGAAGCAGCTAGGTGGTGGTGACACACACCTTAAATCCCAGCACTTGGGAGGCAGAGTCAGGTTGGATCTCTGTGAGTTCGAGGCCAGCCTGGTCTACAGAGTGAGTTCCAGGACAGCCAAGGCTACACAAGAAATTCTGTCCCAAAAATGAAGAAGATGCGTGATGCATGTTTAATTCCAGCACTGAAAAGGTGGAGGTAGAAAAATAGTAAGTTCATGGGCAGCCTAGGATACTACAGCTAGAACATGTCAAAAAACGGGAAAAAACAAAACACAAAACTCAAAAACCATGGAAATGCTTTAAGCTGGGTTGTGTTAATAATTCCTTATAAACTTAAAATGGATAAATCTATCTTATGGTATATAAAATGTTCCTTGAATAATAACAGTTAAAACATTTCAAGTTACCACAAAAATGTAGTATTTTCTCTTAACTTTAATTGGGTGATATAATTTGTTTTTAAATGATTATTTTGTTATGAAAAAAAAAAACTTTTTTAATTTTGATGTGGTCTCACCATGTAGACCAGGCTGACCTAGAACTCACAGAGATCTGCTTGCCTCTGACTTCCAACTGCTGGGACTGAAGGCATAAGCACAACACCTGGCTACAAAAGAATTTCCATAAAATCTTTTTTTTATATTTCCTTTTTATTGTTTCAGAAGTCAATGTAGGCTATATAAATTTATGTCAGTAAACTAGGGATGTATCTCAGTGGCACAGAACTTAACATCCAAGGGGCTAATAGGATCCACCCCTACTACTAGATGCGGGGGGAAAAGCTAAGTGAAATGAATGCATGAATGCTTTGCTTGAATGTACGCCTGTGTACTATGTGATGTCTGGTGTCAGGAAGGTCAAAAGGTGGCACTGGATCCCCAAAAGCTGGAATTATGAACTGCTATGTATGAGCTGTTATGTGGTTGCTGGCAATGGAAGCAGGGTCCTCTGCAAGAACAAGTGCTCTTAACCACCGAGTCATCTCTCCAGCTCCTATAAAAGGATTTAAAAAATACTCTGCTCCGGTCTATATTATACTTAAATTGGGATATATATATATATATATATATATATATATATATATGTACATATATTGTAGACTTCATGTCTAATCACAACTGAATAGTTTCTTCAACTAAACAAATTATTTCTCCTATAGCCAAAGGTGGCCTCAAACTTGCTCTGTGTAGCTGTGGATGGCCTTGAACTCCTAAATCTCCTGCTTCTGCTCCTTGAGAACTGCAATTATAGGAAATATGCTTGCTAGGACACTTGGCTCTAAAGAACATGTTTCTAAAAAGGAAAAGAGAAAGGCTGTCTATCTATTTGTCTATCCATTTAGCATACGGGAAAGATCAAGCTGTCCATCCAACCTTCCATCCATCTGTCATGAGACAAAGATCACCAGGACATGCCTTCAATCCTGGCATTTGGGAGGTACAGGTAGGCATATTGCTACAAGTCTGAGATCAGCCAAGTCTACAATGGTGAGACCAGACAGGGTACATAACACTCTGTCTCAAAAGTAAAACAGGGGCTAGAGAGATGGCTTAAGTGATCAAGAGCACTGGCTGCTTTTGAAGAAAACCTAGGGCCACGTTGTAGCATGACGGCTCATAAGCATTTATAACTGTTCCAGGGAATCTGGACCTCCGCTTTGAAACTCCAAGGGCACTAAGTGTTCATGTGGCGCATATAAATACATGCAAGCAAAACACCCACACACCGACAAAATAATCTAGAAGAAAAATAAAGTAAATAAAATCCACTTAAAAAAAAAAAAAAAAAACCTTCTAATACATAACTTAATGCAACTTTTTAAAATGTCCAGATAATTATTCATGCACAATATGTTTACTAGGTACCTAAGCCCTGGAACTTTTTAGTTACAAAAGAAAAAGAACAGTAAAATAAAATCAGATCCCTGAACTGTTGGGAGCTTATAGTTTAGAAACAAGTCTCTGGAGTTCTACATCTATTAAAAAAAAAAAAAGTAAAAGGAGAAATGGGCAGTAATAGTTTACATAGAGCAGGTAGAAAAAGGATTTTCGGAAGGGACAGCATTTGAGCAAAGAATGCAAACAGAAGAAGCAAATCAGTCAGCATAGAGAGGAGCACCCTGGTATAAAGTTCGGGAATAAGAGCAAATTCAACATGTTGAAGGAATAGAAGAAATATGTTTGGCTATGAACTTTGTGGTAACAAATATATAAACAATTATCCCACGTTACACTGCATCACATGGTTAACTCACTAAAGGCTCTGGTATCAGATGTGATTGTACACAGATGTAATCTCAGCATTAAGAAATATGGAGGAGGTGCTGGAGAGATGGCTCAGCAGTTAAGGGCACTGACTGCACTTCCAAAGGACCCAGGTTCAAATCCCAGTACCCACGTGACAGTTCACAACTGCCTGTAACTCTAAGATCTGACACTCTCACATACACATACATGCAGACAAAACACCAGTACACAATTTAAAAAAAAAAAAAAAAAAAAAAGGTAAATACATTAAAAAGAAAGAAAGAAAGAAATATGGAGGCAGGAGAATAATGAAATCAAAAAGACACTGCCTAGAAAAACAATTAACTAGGAATGTTGACATATGCCTGTAATCCTTCCTAACAGTCCAAAAGACAGATGCAGGAGTTGCAGAAGACAAACTGGAGCCAAAGAGGGCTACACACTCTCAAAAACAAAACAAAACAAATTCTATTAAAACAACAAAATAAAATCCCCAGGTAGCTGGCTAACTTGTTTGTATTTCCAACAGGTATATTAGCAGATTGTTTCTTAAATGGACCATTTGAATTGATTTTTTTTAAATTCAAATCACCAAAAAAAAAAAAATCTGTCACATATTCACTAAATTTCTAGAAGGTTTATTCAAACCTGAACTAACATGAAGAAATTATTATTATTATTTTGAGACAAGGTTGCTCTGTGAAGCCCTGCCTGTCCTTCAACTCACAGAAACTGCCTGCCCCTGCCTCCTGAGCGCTAGGATTGAAGTCATGCACCTCCACCACCTGGCTGAGTCAGTAATATTTTATTAATTCCCATCAGAATTCAAAAGATATATAATCTAAAAGACATTTTAAAAATACAACTTCACTATTTTACCCATCTTCTACAATACCTACCTTTTGGGATTCTTGCTATGTGAGCGGGACCTAAAAAAAGAATATCTACTTTTAGAAAAGTGACTTTTTTAAAACTGGCACAAAGTGCTCCTAAATGACTTTTTTTTTAAGTTCTGACGTTTGTTATTTTTATAAAAACAAGTCATGTTCTTGCATCAGAATTTCTCCAACAAAACAAAAACTATAGAATATCCTACCTTGTCACAGTTCCTTTAACTAGACACCTGGCTTAGGAAAGAGTATACTTCCGGAGACTGAAACTCTGTGCTTATCAAAAATTTTAATTTTTCAAAATTCTAGACTAGAACAACAAACTTTTTTTCTATAGCTTTTACACTCTGCCTTTCTCTTCCGTGAATAAAGAAAAATGTCTCAAGATCTAAAATGTCCATTGAACCTATAACCTCATACTATAGTCGTAGAAAAATGATCTCAAGCTTACATCTTCGTCTGTGTACATTAATTATATTTAAAAAAATTAGTATTTTTAATTTTGTGTTTGTGTGTGCATGTGCACACGTGAATTTGGGGATGCATGACTCAAGAGGCTAGAAGCATTAGGAAACTGTTACCTGCCGAATGTGGACAATGACAACTGAAAGTGCTGTACATGTTTTCCAGCCACCTCACCAAGCCATCTCTCCAGACCCAAGTACTATATTTAAAACTGTGTGTTTTGCCTCATGTATGTGTGTTAACCATGTACATATGTATGGTCAGAAAAGACTGGATCCCCAGAACTAGAGTTAGGAATGGTTGTGAGCGCCCATGTGGAACTGCTCTTAATCTGTTGAAGCATTCTCCAACCTCCAAATGATTCAGCCCCAGACTATACTCTTATATAGCACACACTCTGTACACTTCCCAGTACAAAGTTAGTGCTCAACAAACAATTCCAATTCCATGGTTAGTACAACACTGCAGCAGTATATTCTGTAATTAAGTGTACATATAATGACAAGTTTATTTCATAATATGCTTTGGGGTTTATTAACTATGATTCTATCCATTCACTGTGTAACCAGCAGAAAGTTACATATCCTCCCTTAGTTCAACCTATCATGTGTAAGAGAGGAATAACAATTTAAATGTCATTAAGTGTGAAATGTCCCCCAAAAGTTCATATGCTAATGATCTAGTCCCCAACTGGTATATCTAGTCATCTAGAACTAACTGGATCATAAGGGCTCTTATCTAATTTTATCTAATAAATGAATAATCCATTGACAATTTTTTAAACATATGCATGTATACCACACGCAAGTGGATATCTGTGGAGGACAGAAAGTGTTGGCTCCTGTGGAGTTGGGAGTTACAGGCAGCTGTGAACTCCTCATTTGGCTGCTGGGAACTGAACTCAGGTCTCCTGAAAGGGCAGTAAATGCTTTTAGCCATTTCTCTAACCCCTACTGATAGATTCTTGATTTGATGGTATTGTTGTTAGGTTATAGAAACAAGTAGATGGGATAGAACAAGTAGTTCAGAGAAGCAGGTTCTTTGACGTGTGCATATTATGGCTGGACCTGTCTTATTAACCTCTTGTGTTTGCCTACCTTGAAGTAAGAAGCTTTTTTCTACTATGGCCCTTTGTATCTTTCAGTTACCATTAGGTTCTGCCTCAACCACAGGCCCCTGGCAGAGAAGCCAGCAAACCAGGTGCTAAAACTTCTGAGTCCATGAGTCAAAACAGCAATGAAAAACCTAACTAACACAGATCAGATAAACTAAAGCAAATTTTGTAACACAGATCCTGGCAGATAAATGGCTTGTAAGTGATGTACTTTTTAGTTGATTATTTCAGGAGCAGACAGAAACCCAGCTCGAAAATTTTATATTATTTTATAACTTTATCTTATAAACAGTTACTGCTTCCTCAATTTCACAATTACCTTTGTTGTAGAGGTGATCTTCATTCACATTGTATTATGGTGTCTCTGTATATTAGATCATTAAGTGCTGAACCTGCAGTGAGCTAAATGCTAACAGATTCTGGTATTGTTATTGCTATTGAGAATCTCCTGTCTCAATGTTGCATAAAAATTACTCCCCAATTATCTCTGACTGGTTAATAAAAAAGCTGAAGAGCCTATGACTGGGCAGAGAAGATAGTAGGCAGAACTTCTGTTCCCAGTCTGGGGGTCCCAGGTAGAGGGGAGGGGGAAAAGAAGGGCCATAAGGAGTCATCATAAGGACAAAGATAGAGGAGTAGTAGCTGAGGCGAGACTAGATGGCAAGGAGCATGGTGCATGTGGCTGAGAAGTAGCCAGAATAGTATAGACGGGTTAGAATATATCAGTATCTGCCCAGCTGTAGTACTCTAAAGATAATTAATAAATATAATAATAGGTCTCCGCCTCATCATTTGAAAGCTGGATAGAGCATAAAAAATAAAAATAAACTTTAATTCAAACAGTTTGTTCTTTGGGATAAAGACTCACTATGTAACTTAGGTTGATTCCAAAGTCTACATAGCCTAAGCTAGTATCAAAGCTGCGGATCCATCTACTTCAGTTTCCTCTGTGCTAGAGTTACAAGTATGTACCACCATGTCTAGCTAAACATTTCTCCAATAAGGTTATACTTTGCAATCAAAAGGAGTAAGAGGTGATCAACTTTTCAACATTTATAACCATTATTACAGTCCTATTAGGATCTCAGTAAAGTGGGAACAAGTTAGATCCCATCTCCATGGCTTACAGAATAATTCTGATTTGAAAATAAATATACAGTTCTTATATCAATAAATTACATCTATAAGCTCAGAATAATCAGGACCTACCTCAGCTGCAGAAGTTGCGAATAAATTTTTACAGTCTCTGACATCCTTTTGTCTCAGGCTGGGACTTTTGATCTACTATTATTAACATTAAGGAATAATTCTGCTCTAATTTAAACTCTTGTTCTTCCACTCTTCCTAAGACTAAAACTGCTCTATGGGCCATAAACTGAAATCTACAAACCTTTAAGTTAATAAATCAGAAAGGGAAATATGGCACAGCCATATACCCTGTAAACGAGGGAAGTCCTATAAAGCCAGCATAGCTATTTTACAGTTACAACAAAGCTTAGCTGAATGCTGTGATGGGTATCATTCTGTCTCTCACTTTTAGGTTTTGCTCTCTATGTGTTGCATTTTTTGGAACTTTCTGCATGGTGATTCATTTTATGTCTTTTCCCTGAGAAAAATATGTGTAAGTCTTTTTAAGAACAATTTAAACTTACTATCTCTTCTGCTTTTAGGGAAATAACTTTACCTGGCCATATATGGAAGTCTTCTTTATGCCCTGGAGATGATGATAGAGGTAAGCACAGGTAAGCACAAAGCTAGGAATTTCTAAAGGAGCCATGACTCAGGAATCTTCTTTGGGTATCTGGCCCTAAGCAAGCTCAAACAGTATAACTGGAACAACGGGGTAAACCTAGAAATAGTTGACAAAAACTTGGTAACAGGAGGACTGGTAACAGCTTCAAGACCTCTCTTTAAAATACACTTAGAGTTCTCTGACAATGTAAACTTAGAGATAACAGACAAACTGGGACTGGCTAGAACTGGTTACAGATTCCAGGCCTCTTTTTACAATGCGCTTAGAGGTTTCTGAAAATGCAATTTAAGATAGGGGATTGTAAAGGGTACACCCCTGGAGGAATAGAACTCAGTAAATAAGATAGACTAAAATAATCTTTTCCTGCTATAAGTATTAGTATTTGCTATTCATAAAGACGGGCTCAGATATTTTCTGTATGTCTGGAGCACTTTAAAACTGTAAATACTGTCAGCCTAAATGCAGGCTGTCATATAGTAAATGTGTTGACTTTGGTGGAGACATTCTTTAGATTCTTTGAATTGAATAATAAAAATAAATGAGGCTGATAATAAAATAAAATCTGTTATATTTCTATTTTCTAATTGTGACCAAACCTGTAACCCCAGACATGTAATGAAAAAAAAAAAAAAAAAAAAAAAAAAAAAAAATCAAACACATGCCCAAAGATACAATCTGTATTTCTGGATAATCATTAGTCTGTCTTTGTTTTGTGAAACCTGTATAAATAAAGAAGCAACCTGATTGCTAATCAGTCAAAGCTGTAAGATTCCCCAGACCATGGAGCCTGACTCATTCCTCCCTTGCTGACTCCTTATATCCTCTTAGGGAACAAACCCCCTCAAGTCCACTCCTCACCCACCCACTTCCACTCTGCAAGGTCATTTGACCATCTCAGTCAAATCTTAAACAGAGAATTCCAACATTATATAAAACAATTTCTTCAAAACAAAAAACACAAACAATAAAAAAACAAACCACTAACTATACTAATCTAAATACTGGATTACTTAACAATATCCCTAGAAAAAGCAGCCTGGGAATAAGCAGTGACAAGTGCTTGAAATATCTATGTTCAAGCAATCAGCCTGAGTTACACAACAATACCTAGGTTTAACAAGCAAGTAAACTAGATGTGAGTGGTATACATGTTTTTTTTTTCCTTTTTTTTAACTTATTTTTATTATTAGTTACGGTACACATGTTTTCAATCCCAGCACTTAAGAGGCAGAGGCAAGGACAGTCTCATCTATATAGCTCCAGGACAGTCAGCAGTATAGAAAGACCTTGTCTCAATAATAATAATAATAATAATACTGCACAATTAATAATAATAATAATAATAATAATAATAATAGTTTTTCTAAAGCAGAAGCAACAAAAGACCCTACCTTAATAAGGTAAAGGCAAGAACCAATTCCAGAGAACAGTCCTCTGACTTACACATACCTACATGCATAAAAAAAAAAAAAACAAACAAAAAAAAAAAAAAAAACATAGACAACCCACACAAACAAACACATAAATTGGGGTGGGGTGGGAAAGAATCTAAACATACACTAAGAACAAAGAGATAAGTTCTGACGTAAAATTTTTTAAGTGGAAAACAGAAAAATAGAGAGATAGGGGAAGGGGTGAGAGTGAAGGGGGGCTTCTAAAGACAGACTAGACCATAACATTGTACTGTTTTGCCCTTGAAATGAAAAAAGATCATCAGCTAAAAGCCAGTAACATATGGGCCAGTGAAATGGCTCAGTGGAAACGCTTTGCCACAAAAGTCTGGTGGCTTGAGTTCAGCTCCCATGGTGAAAGGCCTGTCCTCTTTATTGGGCAGTGTGACACACGTATGTCTGTAGTATGTCTGAGTATGCACATGAGCAAACATGTAAACACACACACACACACACACACACACACACACACACACACACACACACA